GTGTGTGTGTGTGTGTGTGTGTGTGTGTGTGTGTGTGTGTGTGTGTGTGTGTGTGTGTGTGTGTGTGAGAGAGAGAGAGAGAAAGACACATACTGTTGTGTTACAATAGTTGGTAATATGATGAATTAGTTTCTTCCTAAAATCGATTATTTGTAACTGGCCTTACTTGTTTTTATTGTTTTTAATTATTATTTTAATAATGAAGACACAGAATAATAAATATCACAATAAATAGGTAAAGGAAAATGTCAGCTTTTGTTATTTTCTCTACTCTTTCCCTAATGCCAGTTTTGTTTTCTCAGTCATTTTTTTTTTTTTTACGAAACCAAAGCCTTACGATAGCTCCTGTACTTGGCAGGTGGAAGCGACACTCTTTCACACTGATCATGATTTGGGGGTTATTGATTCCCTTTAACAAAATTTGACTTGGCAATGCACTTTGATCTGTTTGCTCTGGGCAGGAATACCTAATGCTGGGTCACTCTGACTTTTTCTGACCTGTTTTTAATTTCAGTTTGCCAGTGTTTTTATGTGTGTTGTTCAATCCAAGACAATGTGCTTCATAAAAATAATAATGACCTTGTGCTCAGTGTATTTATTTTATTGCCTAATCTACTGTCAGTTTCAGGGGCTGTCGTAATTTTTGAGTTAGAGCCGGCATAATTTAAGTGGTCAAGATCCATCTCTGTAGCTAAGAAGAGGCAGGTACATGTGATGGGGCAGGCTAGGAGGCGGGATTGTAATACAAGTAAACAGACTCGCTCTATTATAAAAGCAGGTGCACAATTCCACATTCTCTAAAGCATCTGGTGAGCTCCTCAGATTACTTGTTGTGAAGCCATGATCGTGAAATTAATTGCCATTTGCGTTGTGGTGCTGGTCTCTTTTGGCAGCTTCTGTGATGCAACACCTGGTATACCATCACCTCCCAAACAACCACTTCAGCAATCCCACCAGCATTTGCAGACATTTGAGAAAGAGCTCACCTGGAAATACCCTGATGATCCCCAGCCTGACCCCAAGCCAAATGTGCAGTTTGAGCTGAGATATCCAGCAACGGTTCCTGCTGCAACCGTTGCTGTTGACTGCAGAGAAGCCGTAGCTCACGTGGAGGCCAAGATGGACCTGTTTGGCATCGGACAGCCCATCAATCCAAGCGACCTCGTCTTGGGTAACTGTCCACATACTGGAGAAGACCCTGTCGCTCAAGTGCTGATTTATGAAGTCGAACTGCATAAATGTGGAAGCCAGCTAACTGTAAGAAACAGATTTTTTTTCTGGGAAAAAAACAAAACAAAAACTATCATAGATGTTTATTAGAATTTTGTAAGATATGTTTATGTTTGATCGCTAATTGTTTTAATGTATGTCTTTTCTAGATGACAGATGATGCCCTGGTCTACACCTACTTTCTCAACTATAGCCCTTCAAATTTGGGTATTACTCCAATTGTAAGAACCACCCAAACTCCTGTGATTGTGGAATGTCACTACCCAAGGTGAGTAGAGCAAAGTCAAAGAGTTTGGTGACTCTAGATGTAACATACAACCTCTAAAGAAAACTCAGAACTTACTAAAGGCTTAATCCCCATTATAATTTTTGATGCAAAGGGCACATTGGTCTGAGAATAATAGTTGAATTCTACATTTTAATTAAATTATTTTCCCCTTCAGAAAGCACAATGTGAGCAGTCTTCCTCTTGAACCCGTGTGGGTCCCTTTCTCTGCAGTTAAGATGGCTGAGGAGTTCCTGTATTTCACTATGAAACTTATGACTGGTGAGCTTGACAAAAATTAACAACTATTTTAGCTGTGCAAATTACAAAGCCAAATACAAAGATAATTGTATGTATAAAATTGGAGAAATTGTAGCACTTGTTGATGTGAGGTCACAGCATCTAAAAGAAGAACCATCCCTTCCTTAAAAATTGAACTGTTAGCCACTAGTTTCCATAAATGCCATCTGCAGAACAAATGCACATCAATTTGGCTGGTTTCTGCTGCCAAATGTCTACTAAGTTGTTGCTAGGCTACACTGCATGACTTCAAATGCATTTAAGTTGATCACAGATTGTGTTCTGATAAATCTGTGATATCCGAGAACAAATCTATTTCAGTTGATTTAAAAACATAAATAAATAAAAACTATCACTGCTAATCTTTGCACAGATGACTGGCTTAATGAAAGGCCAAGCTACCAGTATTTCCTTGGAGACCTGATCCGTATAGAGGTCACCGTCAAGCAGTACTTCCATGTACCCCTGCGTGTTTACGTGGACAGATGCGTGGCTACCCTCTCACCTGATGCAACTTCCAGCCCCTATTATGCTTTCCTTGATAACTTTGGGTAAAGTATTACTTACAGTTATGAGAACTTGTTCACAAGAGCAGTAAAGGTAAATGTAACACAGAAAACAAATTTGCTACACTTCATTTGCTTTATTTTGCATAAGTGCAGGTGTTTGATTGATGCCAGGATCACAGTCTGTGACTCAAGGTTCATGGCTCGCACTGAAGAGAATAAACTTCAGTTCCAGTTGGAGGCCTTCAGGTTCCAGAATCCCGATAGTGGATTGGTATGCATCACTCAGACCAAGTCAAATTATATATTTTTATATTGTACCATATATTATTAACCCTGGTCCTCCTTTGCTTTAACAGATCTACATTACCTGCCACTTGAAGGCAACAACTACTGCCCATCCCATAGACGGCCAGCACAGAGCTTGTTCCTACATTGGCGGGTGAGTATGCTTGCACACTTAAATGGACTAAATATAGTAATATAGTGTTTTTCTATTCCTTTTGACCACTCTTACCACTTTGCACTAGAGTAAATTTGTTCATTTGCACTCACCAATGCTCACACATTCATTCACAAGCACATTCGGCATCTTAGTGTTAAGTGCCTTCCCCAGAGGCACATCAGAGGAAGAAGCTGGAATCAAACCTTCAACTTTTCAATTGCAAGTCAATTACTCTTTCCACTAATCTGCAGTCGCTGACATTTCTGTCCCCAGATGGAGAGAGGCTAGTGGAGTTGATCCAGCTTGTGCTTCTTGTGAGTCTGGTGATGTGATATCGTATACCGCTCCAGGAGTTGCATTCGGTAACCCCCTCGTCATTACCAGTGATGGTGGAGGAGGACAACAAACTCCTCAAGTCCCTTATAATCTCCCATTTTCAAGGAAAGCTCGTGATGTGACCCAACCTGAACGTATGTGCTTTAGAACACTTTTTCTGAATGACATGATCTTGTCTAAACAGACATTACATTAACAGATCAACCATGATTTCTGCATACCTAATGGATTTTTTTTTTTTCGTTCAGTTTTGGAATGGGAAGGCGATGTCACTCTGGGTCCCATCCCCATCATGGAGAAGAAACTCTGACAAGCAGAAGTGTCGCATGATTTGCCTCTGTAGCCGTGAACACCAAAATAAACAGTATCATTGGTTCATATCTCTGTCTATGACAGCTGTTCTTGAACGTGTAACAACATCAGTCTCTTAAATCAACCTAAAATTTCAACAACTTACTAAAAAAATACATAATTTAAATTAACTTCTATGTAATGCCATTGAGTCCAATTGGGTCCATGTGTGTTTTATTTTTTATTTCAATTTTGAGTTTTAGGTTGTCTCTGCTGAATGACACTCGCAAGCGCAATGAATGAGTGAATAGGTATTTACTGACCTCGTGTGGCAGAAAATGTGCATTGTATTGTTTTGTGAGGTTCAGCACCACTTGCAATGAACAGCAAGCAACCAAAAAGGCTTATTCAGTCAATACATTAATTGAATTAATTCAATTAATTTATTAAATTATTAATAAATACATTTATTGATAAAAAATTTTTTTATTATCACTTATTAATAAGTTAATAAATAATTCATTTGCAGCTTATTTATCTTGATTTATCTCAAAAAGCTAAATGCTTTAGTACCTTATTCTGGTTCGTATTTTGAAAACTAACATTTTTATTTCCTTTATAAAAAAGTACAATAGGTCGTTCTATCTCTTTACAACTGCTTTGCTAAACACAATCTCCAGAATTTTATAAATTAGTAATATTGTAGGAACACAATGTATTGTCCTGAGGTCTACTCAAAGGTATCACAGTAAAGGCTACTAATTCACACCACTTTTGATACCTTGTAAAATAAATTAATAAAAATTATGCACCATTTGTCTTTTTCTGGCACCTAAAATATCCTGAGAGTCAAACTATGGAAAAGTTAGAGGGTTGTTCTACCATTGCAAGATGCGGTATTTAGTCTTTGCAGTGTGCTACCATATTATGCTCGTGGTCGGCATTAACAGCATGTGAACGATGCTGTCTTGAGTACTCAAAAAAAAAGATCTGTTGTGCTTAACACCACCGTCTCCAGACCTAATCGTCTCTTTTTTTTTTAATCAGGGAATGTCACTTTAAACGTTTGTCATGTTAAAGTAGAAGAAGAAAAAAATAATAATCTCATCTTAGATTGTTTTCTGTAGCACAGTTTGGGCTCAAAGCCTACCCTCCTTCTGGGACAGCCTGCTCACGCAGCAGCGACACTGACGTTATATTGTCTCTGCTCGTCCGCACCTCCTCCTCCTCCTTCCTCCCCACCCCTCCCTCCGCCTCTGCCTGTCTCCGCACTGCTGCCCCCCTTGCTGCTGCTGGGTGTCACAGGCAGCATCGCGGCAGCAGACATTTGGCGAGCAAATCGAGGACTGCGGTCAAACCAGCTGCGCGCTTCATGCCTCCCGTGGACATTTCAGGGAAACACGGGAAAATCCGCGGCGTTGCACGCTGCCTCTCAGGACCCACTTTTTGTTTTTTTGTTTTTGGCTCCCCTCTGGTCCCAATTGTGCGTGGATGCTTCACTGCAGATTTGATGGTGCTGAGCAGGCTTGTCTGATTGTGAAGGCTTGCGGCCAGGCGGGCATTTGCGGGGCCGCGGAGAAAGACCCCGTCGTCCAGGTTTTCTGCGTCCCTCCTCTGCACCGTGATTGTTCATGGACTGCCGCTGCGCTCCGTGATTTTCTGCAGTCTCTCTGAGTCATTTGTAGTAGAAGATGGCGGACAGGGCTGAGATGTTTTCTCTATCCACTTTCCATTCCCTCTCTCCGCCTGGCTGCAGGTAAGAGCTTTCACCAGGAGTGACAGTAGAGTGATGATGTGACAGGGTGATAAAAGGAGGGGGGGTGGAAATAACGAAACACAAGACAGTGTACAAGAATGTCACTTTTATGCAAATGACTGTAGGAAAACACGCATTTCTGGATTGGTTATAGATATTTGGAATAACCTGCTGTGTATAGGCCTGCTAGTGTTTCAGCCCCCTGATGCTGCTTCCCTAGCAGCACTGAATGACTTCATGTATACTTTCTAATATTTACGGCACGTTTTCTTATCAAACCTAAAGTGTAAAACAAAGCACAGAACAAAACCTATTGCAAATGTTAGATTCTAAACTGTCGCGACAGCCACCCGTTTGCGCATCCTCTGTGTGAGGCCCACGCCCTGTTGAGTCCAACCCCAGCAAGGGCATGATGCTGAACAATGATTTACGGAAGTCACTCTGATGATGATGCTGTTTTAAATGCATCCCGCAACAAATCTACAAGGTTTTATTTGATCTTGCCTCAGCACAACAGGGAATAGGATGAGATCTGTAACTTGCAGCAGTTTCAATGAAACAACTAAAGCGTTTTGTTTATGTTGAAAAGACACAGACCTATGCTGTCCATGTTGTTGAGCATGGGTGAGGTCGTCCTTATGTTGTCCATATCAGATTTTCTTCCCCCATCCCCCCTCCACACACACACACACACACACACACACACAAACACAACCAAAACAAATTTCTGAGCAGTACATTTTAGTTGGGCTTTAACTAGTTTACATAGTCTCATTTCTAAGGCTGTCTTGATCTGAAAAGTTCATAATGGCCATAATACATACAAAATAAACAAACACAGACCTACAAACGCAACTATACTGTAAAATCCAATTTGTTTTCTTTTCTCTTTATACTTAAAAACAATATGGAAACTCATTGCATCAGAACACATATTAAAATGTTGCTTTTACTATGTAAATGACAAAATAATAGGTGGTGGGCCTGGAAGCTGCACTGCTCTGAAAAGGCCAGAGTACATGTCAAAGTAAGGTCCGTCTTGAATCACTGCACAGATGAAGCTTTGAGGTCTACTTTTTCACCTTAAACATCTTAGGACTGATTTTAGTTACAAATTAAAACAGTGTTTCAGAAAGTGAAAACTTTCTTCACCTTCTCCATCTCCTGCTGCTGGTGTCAGAATGAATTGTGGCAAGCTGGCTGATCCACACTGTCACATAATACCTTTTCACATTACTTCAAAATAACCTAATTCAATTTTAAAACTTTTGACCTCAAAAGGCCCTCAGCTTATTTAAACTTAGAGTTTCTTATATCTATGTGAAATTATTTATTCTATTGAAGTCAACCTTTTAACTTCACAATACATTCAAATGTTTACAGGACTTATTTGAGTGCTAGCAAAAGCTTGAACAAAATCAAGTTTAACAATTTACAGTGCACATGCCTCTGTTTTTGCATTCTTAAATAATATGTTGCTCATAAAGTTGGGTCTCTTCTCATGAAATTTGTGTAACAATGCAAATTATTTTTATAGATCAAGTGTTAGCTTAGCCACTGCCTTCCTGTGCAATTCCGCTTGATCAAAATCTTGCTTCACAGACAGTCTGGACTTTCTCCTATTTACTTGGATTCCCACGGTAGAATTTCTTCCAGGGCAATCAGCGAACAGGAGAAGTTGTGAATGATCACGTTAATTTTCTGCGCTGTTTTAGAATTGTAGTCTGTTTTAGCAACAGCAGTGGAGGAAGTGAACGTAGCCATTCAGTCCGTTTTGGCCACGCTTCCAAATATTGATTAAACATTAACAGCCGCCTCGTTTGGACTGGCACTTCTCTCTTCGCAGTAGAGGATGGTTGTTTACAGCGCAGGCAATTTCCAGTCAGCTCCATAGCATCGAGTTGCCGCATTACAAACGTCACGGACAAACGTTAGCGATTGGGTAACATTTAAAACTTCCACACCTCCAAGAAAAATAGTTTCTTAATAGCCGAGATCCCAGAGCCTCTGTACGAAGGAAACAGCGTGGAACAGGGGGCTGTTTTTTTTTTTTTTTTTTTTTTTTTTCTACCAGGCTAATCAAGTGTAGATCTTTTCAAAATTTTGAAAATTTAACCATAAGAATGCATTTGAAGTTAAGGTTTATCCATATTTATGTGAAACAGTGTGGAGTAAACATTTTGTTTTATGGATCACAAAATGTACACTTTAATAAATCTGAAATCCATGTAGAACAATCCAGGTCATGATTTCTTTGGATTAGAAACAATAAAAGACAGTCCATAATTCCTTTTAAAAAATGTTAAATTACCCTTAAATATAGATCTAAATAAGAAATTTTGACTGATTCATTAGTCTCCAGTGATATATCTCAGCTTCATTGCACTGGAGGTGTGTACTTAAGACTTGGATGGCTTAATCATTGAGACAAGAATGAGTTCTTGTGCTGCCAACTGATAGGATGGCACCCTGGGTGGTGTGCCATATCTCTAATTTAGAAAATTTCCACCGTTCATATGCTGCAATATGGGTTGCAGAGACTTGATTGCAGAAATGGCTGCACATAATAGTAAATTAGGGGAAAGAGTATGATTGTACATATTTGTCAGGATAGGAGAGTCACTGATACATAAACTGCCTCAGGATCTCATCGACCATCCCTGCTCCCATATGGCCAATGGGTCTACAGAAACAATCACATTAGCCAGTCATTCCTGCTGGGTTTTCAATCCAGGTCATGTACTCATGTGGGATTAGCTCAGTCTCAAAGATGGATCATGTAAAATCAATGTGACTGATTTTTTTCCACTGACCTTAAAGTTCAAATCAAATTGTTGGGATCAATATTTTAGATTTGCAGCTTTGGCAGGAAGCCAGAGCAAGAAGTGTATCACATAGCTAAAGTATCAAAAAGTTCTTGTATACTTTGGACCTGTGCGTTCTGCATGTGACAGAATCCAGATACATGTAAAGGTTTTCTCATTTAATTCTCAGAGTAACATATGCCAAGATTTTAAAAAGTTACAAAATCAAAACTACTACACGACACCTTCATTAAGGTTTAAAGGCACCTTAAGCCTTATTATTTCTAAGGTTTAAAGTGCTTTTGCCGAGATGCCAGAGAGAGGTTTTGCTCGCTGCCTACCAATCCCCTTCCACTACCTTTTGCCTTGCATTGCTTGTCAACTGGCTGAAAGAAAGTTGTTATATTTGCTTACAACAAAGACAAGTTTAACTATTTGGATATATGCCATGTTGTGAAAAATGCACAGTCTTGGAGTGGTAACTAAACTGGCACCTTTATTTGCACGACCTTGCAAATATATCAGTGCATATACTATATTAATATCGCATATGACTTTTTGACATGGATATACAGATTTCAGATGTCACAAATATAAATTTTGCATGCCAATAAGATATTCTCCTGGAGGATGAATTGTGTGTTACCTCTGCAGTCGCTCACACATGACCCAGATGATAGCGCTCAACTTCCTGAAGCTCACAAAGAGAAAAGGAAACACGAGGAAACTAGGAATTTATCACAGCTGAATGAGTGACAGTCATTGCAATATTTAGCAAGGACATTGTCATTAGATTGTTTTCTAATAATGTGCAGCCCAGCTGTCACCCGTCAGTCCAAGGCAGTGCTGTTGTAAAACTGCAATTGGCAAGTCTATGTAGCAAAATCAAAATAAGAAAAATGAAACCGTTTTATCTGAGCCCAAGGTCACAATTTCACGAAAATCTCAAACTGGCCCAGGACTTTTCATATGTATTTATTCAGCCGATCGGATTCCCAATCTGTCAAATTTTATTTTAGCGTTTGTTTTCCTGTTTTCATCAGAGGTGTTGGTGGTGTGGTAATCTGCCTTACATAACCCTGACTCTGTTCCCAGTCGGCAACATAATCCTTTAAAGGGGCCATCAATTTTCTGAGCCGCAGAAATTTATAACTAACGGTAATTCCTTCTGCACTGAGGGAAACCTCTTTGTGCTGGAAGTTTAAACCTTAATAGATGAGTTCAGGTCATTTATCAAGTTTTTTTTGTTTGTTTGTTTGTTTATTTTTGCAATTATGTATAAGAAGGAGACCCCACCTTGTGCTGATGAGAAAATGTATACTTTCAGCTCACAGTAAAAAAATGAGTTTGTATTGCTCTCGGTTGTGGTAATTCTTTATTTTTAAATGTTTGTAAAGGAAATTGCTTTTATTGTTTGTTTTAAAATGTCCCCTGCTGTTTTAATAAAGGCCTTATCGTGACATCAGTCCTAAGGGCCAGTTCTATGCATTATCATGGGAAAAAATGTGTGTTGCTGGTTTGGGTAGATTAGTTGAAGCAGCGTTGAGAAGGTAACTAGTTATCCTTGTTTTTATTAGACGTTAATTTAGGTGGCCAATTGTACATTTCAATCAGATCCGATTGAGTGAGGTTCAAAAACAGCCTTAAGGACTGTGTTAGATGGTGCTGCTCATTTCCCCTATCCTCCATTTACTACTTTTACAGTTTTGAAAGGAGAAAAACTGCAATTCATATTTCACATTTGGGATGTTTTGTGAATATTTTTCTGTCATTGTTTTTATAGTAGGCTACTGCAAGGAAATGCCGCTGCATGACTCCAGTAGCCATCAAAATGTCACAGTTGTTGTTTTTTTTTTTTTTTAAATCTGAGTCATAATTTCGAGTCATTTTAATTCTGCAGTATATTCAGTAAACTCTACATTATTCTTAAATATCAGTTATCCAGTAAACTTCAAACTCACAGCTTGTTCTGAGTCTGGTGGAACAGTACTGGGAAATGTGTAGTATTTCCACAAACTGCGTCCTGATTTCTTTTACTCCAACCCCGTTCAGTGTGAACCTCATGTTTATTAACTGATGCTCTACTTTTGCTTTCCAACTCTTTGAAGGCAGCTGGCAGAAGCTGAGAGGGGGGTTGGGAGTACTGGTGGGTATGGTTACTATGGAGTAAGAAGCTTAACTCAAATACAGATTCAT